AGTAAGGACTTGTGTCACTAAAGTTTCATCGGAATGAAGTTACGGAAAGTTAATTAACAAACGGAGACGTAACACTATATATATAGGTAAAGAGAATTCAAATATATGTTTAGTAATGTAATATTTGCAAATACATGATATATAACTAGTAACTCACCTGGATAACCTGGTTTTCCTTCTTCACCAACTCCACCAGGTTCTCCTGGATAACCTGTGTAAAAAAATAAGAAAAAGCAGAATTAGAAATATAATGATTTATTACCAAAACAACCTGTATGCTATTTCTATTAAAATCCAGGTTATTTTAAGAGCCTCTCTCTAAAGGGTTGGACAAAATAATGGAAACAATTGTTAAATTCTATATTTCTTTTATTAATGTGGTGTTGGTCCACCACCAGCAGACAATACAGAGGGTTGAGCACAATATATTAAAACTATGTTGGTGCCTTAAAACACCATTACAGTCCATGTCACCAGATATGGTAATGCTCTCCCTGACAACCATGCATTATGATAATAGCCCTACAGCATTTTCATTGCAAAAGGCTCTGTTGTAAGGAATCCTGTCCAATACACATGGCTCCTTCCAGCATGTTTTCCATATTCCAACTAGTGTAAAAAAACGTCAGTTTACTAGTACCCTTATGAATGGTCTAACTGCACAAAACCCACAGGTGCTGTTTCTGGTAACTTGACCAGTGTGTCTTCATATGGTATAACATGAATATCTATTTCATTCCCCAGACTGAGAAATGCAAAAATTGAACAGTCTTATTTTGGAGAACCCATACCCTGTTGGTCTTGTTTCTTTACATAACTTGTATTTGTGTTTAAAATGGTACAGAACATTAGTTTAATAGAAAGCAGAATTCACCTTGATCTCTACATCCACTCTCCTGACCCCTACTTTACTCCTGGCACAATAGCTAGTGATAATCATAAGTCCCTTCAGAAACGTTTTGCAACACGCTGTGACAAAAGTTTTAGAAATTTGTTTCACCCACTGTTCAGTAGAAAATGGCAAGGGACTTGTTGCAGTCATCAAGGTACACATATGAATTGTTGAGTGTCATCACGTACTGCCATTTTTCCTAATCTAGTTACTGTTCATATAGTTTTCTAAAGCAGGTCTTCCTTTCCTGGATATGTCATGGAAGCAAGTGGTGGCAACATGACTTGTGTCACTCTTCCAGATGGATATCTTTCTTGATTACATAGCATACTTTTGTCTGGGACACATGGATAGCTTTTACCACTGATCTTTATGTTTAAGAATTCTCACTTATTACTAGATGCCATACTTTGCTTACCATAGCTGGGTATGACTCATTGCAGGTCTCTTTCTGTGTGGTCCTGATGCTCCAAGTTAGATCCATATTCCTTTATTTTCCATTAAAATTCAATAGG